ACACACACACACACAGATTCAATAAGCGCGCACGCTGCTTTAACTCCTGCGCGCCGTCAGACTGAAGGCAGAAATGAGTGCTGCCTCCACTGTGATAAAAACTTTTAAGAGGTGATTTTTCATTCAAGGTCAAATTAAGATATTAGCTTCTGGGATGAGTCGGGTCCGCTCCAGCCAGTGACTCCTCATGAACCTGACCACAAGTCCTGTTACTGCAGCATTTGTTATTCCAGTCAGCGTGGCAGCGGATCACAGATTCAGCCACACCATAAAACAGCAATAAGTCGGTCTGAGGTAAAAGTGAACATCATGGCTATATCTTGTCCCCTATTGACATTTGATTACGCACAAGTAGGTGATCATCTCAGGTTTACGCAGAGCAGAAGGAAGGAGAGCGCTCTAGCCGCACAGGTTAAACGTTCCTACTTTAAGAAAACCGTTAAATTGCATTGTTTATGTGCTACCTGGGCACTCTAAATATTTATTTAAAATGAAATCAAAGGAAATTGTAATGGTATCGAATGTTTATTAATTACTATTTAAAAATGAAAGTGATGGGGAATTTTTTTTAACCCTGACTGTTTAGCTTGACATCTGATATATATATAGAGCCATGCCCTGATGTGGGGGCTTGGGGGGGGGGGGGGGGCTCGACATGGTCGGGACATAGAAGGGGGTGCGCGGCTAAATAAGTTTGGGAACCACTGATCTAAAACATGCAGGAAATGTGCTGAAACCAGCCTGCAGCACCAGGTATGTCAGCTTAATAATTTCAAAGTCCCAACAGAGCGGCCTGCCAATCTGAATTTACAAGTGGAATATTCTGGCCACAGGGGGCGATAGAGGTTGCAGGGTGGCCTTTCATTAACCCTGTAAAGGATCGCTTTAGTACACACTGGCTCAAGAAAATTATTTTTAAATATGAAAAAGCTGCAAAGTATCCCTTTAAACATGCAAGGATAAAATTAGATGCTTCAATTGTTGAGAAAAATTGGATGTTTTAGGTTGACATGACCCAACTACAAAGGCTGGGTTCGAATTATGGGGAGCTAAGGAGAGCAAGGCTCCACTGAAAAGTTGATGGACTCCCCAGAAGTCTTCAACTGACTAACCAAAGGGAAGCCCAAAAAGATGATCCAATTTCAACTTATATTACAGTAGTCATATAGACTCTAACCCATCGACATATAAATATTGGACAATGGGTTTCCATAGACTCTAATAACACATTTTTGAAGAAAAATGGGAGGTAGCCACCACCGCCATTTTGACCGTGTCACAGGTTCCGTCAAGCCCAGGCAATTCCACAAAAGAGAAGAGAGGTGGAGCTGAGGGTGGGGCTGTAAGGCTGGGATCAACTGACGACACCCGGTCGAACTAAATCCAAGCTGACCTGAAGCTAACCCAAAGCTAACGCGGAGGTAGCAACCTAGCTACAACCGGAGTTCACTACTGTGCACAACACCAAAACTTCTGAGTCAGAGATACGCCGGGCTGACCGCTGGGTAAAACCGGGTGGAACACAGAGGTCTCAGAGACCTCCACAAGCCGGCAGCCGCACAACAGACAAGCGCCGCTGCGATCTGAGATGCGCAGAGCTGCCGCTGGGGAGAACCAGATGGAAAGGTTTCCATCCCAGAGCTCCACAAGCCGGCAGCCTGCGCAGCAGACAGGAGCCGCGATCAGACAGACATGCGCCGAGCTGCGGGGAGGGGAGAACTGGTGGAAAACAGAGGTCTCCTGAGAGCTCCACAAGCCGATAGTCAGAACCCAGCTCCACCAGCATGTTATATTTCAACCCATTTTCTAAAGTGCAGCATTATGTTAAATGCACTGGGTTTTACATTTGCACTGGGTTTTACATTTCATGGTTAAACAGTACATGTTAAAATCTAAGCTCAGCTCGGCAGTGACCTAAAATACATAAATATAATTTTACTTACCGAAAAAAATGAAGTGGAGACTCCTTGGACGCTCTATTAGTGCAATCAATGCCACAGCAAGTCATTTTGTCCAACAATTGCACAAAAAATATCCAAAAAAGAATAAACAAACACAGAGACTCAAAATCCCGGAGCCGTTTCCAAGCCAGACCGAGGCTCTACTGAGGCCTTTCCACGTAGCTAGCTTTGTGGTCACGTGGGTCTGATGCTCATTAATTATACAGAATTTTAGGCTTTTAATACACTTAAACAGAAGAGTGAGAAAAAAATTCACCCCCCTCAGAGCCATGAGTGTAAACTAGATAATTTAAACAAAAAACATGTTTTGGTACCAGGCTGTAAACATGTTTATTTCTGCTGTGAAATTGGTATTTTTAACATGGGAGTCAATGAGGATTTGCTCGCTTCTGACACCAGCCCCCAGCGGATGAGGGTGGAACTGCAATTTTTGTCACTTCCGCGTTGGCCTAAATTTTTCACCCGCATTGTGGGGGCTTGCTCTAACCGTACCGGGACTTATTTATGTACCATACCATGTGTACTGTCACCCTCCCCCTCGCGATCACAGGGCTTCTCCTAAATCCTGTGCGTAATTTGAGCCCTGTGCAATGGATTTTTTTTCCTACCTATCACCAAACTTTACCTCTGCAAAAAGACTCTTAATATTTAGAGAGTGAATGCTGTAGAAGCCGTACACTCTGTGAGCTGCACCGGTTCAGAAATACAACATTTCTGAATGGCTTCTTTGCATTCAGCGGGAAGACAAAATACAAAGTATCCAGCAGGATTGGCATAGACGAAATTGACAGTGGCAGAGTCTGACATTAAGTATGCTCCCTCCAGCTTAGGAGAGTGCATTGGGACGTATCAAGATAATTGGAATTGGAGTCAATCAAACTCAACGTTGAAAGAAAAACACTGACATTAAAGGTGATTTCTGACAGCAGCAGAAATGATGGTAATACGGCTTCATCTACAATCTGGTAAAACATGGTGCTACTCCACACACTTTGATAGACAACAGTCAGAAAGATGCATGCATTTATGAGACGCAGAGAGCTCTTCTGCTTCTGTTGTACATCTAAGATAGAAATGTCAGAGGCACAACAGAGCTCATTGATTACCATACAGCCCGACAGCCTCAGCTTCTCTTAAAACTCCCCTTTTATGAATGCTGCCTTTTCTTTTATTGCTGATTCACATGGAACACACATCTAAAGACCTCGCGGCAAACGCAGTGGTCTCTTTACCGAACCCAGCAAATGCACTCGTGTGTATTTGTATGGTGCCATGTTTACTCAACTGATAAAACATCCATGTTGTTGGCGTCCGCTGAGCCACCAAGCTGCCATCTTTTAGACTAATTACAGCTGCAACTTTGCAGTTCGGCTTATTGGGAATAGCTCATTATTTTCTCCTGAAAAAGAAGCTAATTGAGTGTTTTCAAATGAAGGGCAATTATTTGTTTTCATCTTAGTTCTAATTCTATTTACCAGCGCTGGGGAGACACTGTCTTGGCAAATGCTAAACCACGAAAAAACGGCTTTGGCTAATTTTGAGGCTAAAAACAAGCACTTAACTAAATTTTAATGAAAACCCTTCCAGTAATATTCATCAGGTAATGGAACAGAAGTAAAATGAGTGAAAAAAAGTTATGGGCGTCTGAATAGGTGTTCTCAAATCAAACTAAAAAAAGAAGTTAAACGAGCAGCTATTAAAACAGGCCAATGACCTTCGAGGTAAAAAGATGCTGATTTGTGATGTACCCATTTAAGCACATCCATGCTGAGAACAAAATAATACAAAGATGAGAAATGTAAGTGCAGCAGCCGGAGGAAATATATCACCGGAGAGCAACTAAACGAAGAAGGTGGGAAACTAATGACCACAAAAAGAAATTGTAACTGAAAGGGCAGAAACACAGAAATCCCAATGATGGCTGACCTTTCGCTTACATCACCATAAAATTGAATTTATACATATCCTGACTCTTTAAATGGCAAAAATCCTCACCAAAGATTGTTTCACCCTTTGTGATTTAAGGCCAGAATAAAGACGCACAGAGCAGAGCGTCTCTTAAAGATATAAAAATCAGTCAAGAGTCAGTGAATTTGAAGCAGTTGCTACAGCGAGAAAAAAATTGTAGATTGAAACTAAAAATCCTGGTGTAGCTTATCTTTTTGGGTGTGGTTTTTAAGAATAAAGAGATAAGAACATCACAGAAAGATGCGCCTTATCAGAAACCAAACACAAGTGTGCATAAACACAAGGGAGCTGCAGCATCACTCAGTCAAACCTTATTCAAGAATTCAAAGTCACATTTACCTTGTTGTTACTGAATATAGTTAGCTTGTGGTGTCAAATACAGCATGTTAAAATGCCTTTTCCATCTCCAACCTGCTTTCCAACGCAAATTAGTTGTAATGGCCACAGAGAAACGGTTTGCTCTGAGAAAGCAAGTGTTACACATCATAAGCTTAGACACACCCTCTTATAGGGGAGCCTCAGTCACGCCCATCTACTTCTGGACCACGGGTCCCTGGAAGAACGAAAAAAATGAATGCTAGTCAATGGGGCTGAAAACGCTATGTTCTAGTTCCGTTTGATATTTGCCATAGATTTCACATATGATGTCCATGAATTTTAAAGACGCATTTTGATACCAAGAACGTGCTTATTTTCTAACGGGGGGAAACGCTATTTTTGGTTTTGTGTGAAAATAAGTCCAGGACTAAAAATGTGCTGCACAAAAGTGACGTCATTGAACCAGACACAGAGGAAAACAGATGGAAAAAGGCTGTAAGTTCAGCAAACTTCAAATCCTTCCTTCAGGAGGAAAGAACCACCATAAATCTGGCCATTTGGTAAGTAGCAGCCAGTGGCGGCTGGCCAGTAGAGGGCGATAGGGTGCCGCCCTCCCAGTTTTCCGTGTTTTTAATTTTTATTTAAAAAAATAAATAAATAAAATTAACAATAATCACATATTCTAAGTTAATTGTGTGTTTTGTAACAAAAATAAATCATATATATATATATATATATATATATATATATATATCTATCTATATTGGTCTCTGCCGATCTCTGCCGAGCGGTGGAGGCTGTGTGCTGTTTTTCAATCGCCCAAACAGGACGAGACCAGCTGTCCAATTGCTGACAAGAATATCAAAGGGTAGGAATGGGAATGTATCCAATCAGCGTCGACGTAGTTTCAGAACGTTTCAGAAGCATGATGGGCGATGGAGCTACCGCCAAAGGATTCTTTGGTGTTCGGTAGAACTTGGCAGAGTCGTTTTTGGTCGTGACGCAGATGTAACATGGACGCCGCCGGTGACTACAACCAGCATGGATACCGGATCTCTGCAGCCACTGAATTCAGTTCGGTCTCTTCTCCAGCATCCATTCGAGAGGAGAACTATGGTGGAAAAACTTAATGTCAAAGAGCTTGGACCAGATCAGCCCGACGTAAAGATAAGCCAGCAGGAGAAGGAGAGAGGTAAACTGTACACACTAGGCTTCTCCCGAAATTGTTTCACCAGGAAGGCTTGGCTAGCTGGATGCAATCATGCTAATGCGTTATTTTGCTTTCCGTGTTTGTTATTCAAAACGGCTGGGACAGATAAGGCATGGATGAGTCAGGAGTTACAGACATGAAACATTTTTCTGAGAAGGTGAAGAAACACGAGTCATCCCGGGCACACATGGACAACAACACGGTGAAGCTAGCCATGCTAGGCAGCAGAGCTAACGTTGCCATGCAGGGAACAACAGCAGCTGGGTGCAGAGGTAAGCTGTACATTACATTTCTGTGAACAAGACAATCAGAATCAGAAATCCTTGGTTGTCCCACAAACCAGGACATTTGTTTAATAACATGTTTAATGTGCAATAACTGTAAAAACTAATTTCAACACACATACTTATTATACATATTTAATCACGTAAATGTGTATTTCATGTAAATTTGTACATACATCAATCTGATTCCATTTTACTTGTTACACTTCTGCTGCAGCAAACAAATTTCCCAGCTTTTGGGACAATTAAACATTTCTGATTCTCAATTAGATGTTTTTTCCTCAAATGTAAAAACATCTGATTGAGAATCAGAAATGTTTTATTGTCCCAAAAACTGGGAAATATGACATTTGTAAGAGGATACTGATGACATTATTTCCTATAAAAGTGTTTCCTATGTACTTATCTGTTGTTTTTTATTTATCATATGGCAGGTTTTTCACACCATCCTGAGCCATGCAAAAGAAGGTTCTTGTCACCACACCCATGACCACAGCCGAAACAGAAAGGTGCTTTTCTACTTTAAAGAGGATTAAGACTTTCCTTGAGGAACACCATGACACAGGATGGGCTGAATGCTCTTGCCATGCTCTCCATGGAAAAAAAGCTTGTCACAAACATTCCTGACTTCAATAACACACACACACACACACACACACACACACACACACACACACACACACACACACACACACACACACACACACACACACACACACACACACACACACATGCATCCACTTGATCTTTGTATAAAGTTGACCTTGGCACAACACTCCAGAAATATTTAACAGTGTAAATTTCTGGCATTTTGTCTAAGTAGTGTTTACTACCATTACTGTAACAGTGACCTGCTCATAATTTTTGGTGTTCACTCAAATGTTGAAATTAAACAAAATGTTTTTGTTACTTGCCTCTTGCATTGCCTATTTACCATTTATGGTCATGTTATTTTATGTGCAATTTAATGCAGTATTTTTCAACCTTGGTCCACAAGGCAGCGTGCCAATAGTCAGACACACCTGGATTAATCAGTTTGTCCAATGATGTAAGACAGGAAATAAAAGAGCTGTGCTTAATTCAGGAAATAGTGAAGTTGTGCACAAAGCTCAGAAAGCACAAGTTTGTTTAAAAATAAAAAAATAGCACAGCCCCACCAAAAATATTTTTCACCAGCCGCCACTGGTAGCAGCTATGCTAGGGGAGAGGAGGTTATGTGGTGACGTCATATAGGCGATGTGCCGATGTCCGATTTGTAGTTATGCTAATTATGGACTTTTACAAGCTGATCAATCTCAAAGTATGTGGCTGGCGTGGTCAAAACACACATCCTTAATTTTCACTTAAATTGCAGTACAACATGAGTGTGATCCAGGGCGTGAGCAAAAGCAGATTAGAAAATCGCTCTTTTGGCCCCGTTGACTTGCATTCATTATTTCGTTCTTCTGGGGACCCATGATTCGACTGGAAGGGGAGGAAATGTTGGCTCCCTATATTTGCAAGTCCCAACCCAAGTTAACAACAGCAGTGTGTATATTGCAGAACAATGCAAGCCTGAGCTATTACTAACTCAAGCTCAAGCTACTGCCAACGCTCGCTCAAGGTACTGCAAACGCCAGACTGTGCTACTGCTAAATCTAGACCGAGCCACTGCTACCGCTAGAATGAGCTACTGTTTATACTAGACCAGGGGTGGGGAACTCTGGTCCATCGAGGGCCGCTATCCAGCATATTTTACTTTCAACCCTGCATCATCACACCTGATTTCAATCATCAGGTGATTAAAAGGCTTCTGCTGAGCTTGATGAGCTGCAGAACAGGTGAATCAACCACTGAATCAGAAGTGTTGGAGCAAAGGCATGCAGGATACCGGCCCTCGAGAACAAGGGTTCCCCATGCCTGTACTAGACAGAACTCTTGCTAATGCTTGATAAAGCTACTGCTAATGCTAGCCTGAGCTACAGCTAACATTTAGATGTGAGGAAAACAAAGAATGTCAAAGCACACATTCAAGGATGTATTGGGAATATGAAGTTATCCAGATACAGTACACGGCTGTACACAGGGTTCCTAGCTTCAGGCAGTCATAGAGCCATTTGAGTAAACCAACCAGTTAGCATGCAGCTCACTAAAGCCGGGCGTACACTGTGCGACTTTTTCACTTTTTTGAGCCGATTTTCCAGTCGTGCGAGAATCCACGACATCGGGGCGAGTTTTGCGCCGAGCGGTCGTGTAGTGTACAGGGGGTTACGAGAGGCGATTAACACCACGTGACCAGCTGCCGATCAGCAGTCGTGAGGTCGCACGGACTTCTGGTGTGTTTAATATTTCGCTCGTCCCTCGTGAGGGTATCGCACTGTTGAAGCAGTGCTGCGAGCAGCTACGATCCAAAAAGTATCAGAACCGCTCACGGCGCATGCGCAATCCTGCATCAACGCCAGTCGCTCGCTATTTCCCTAATAACACACGTTGTTCGTTTTTGTTTCTACACGTTTTTTTTACTCACAAAGATTGTCAAGAAAGCGTGTTTGTCGTGTTCATGTCAAATTAAATTGATCACAAAACACAGATTCACTTTCTTTATTTCGTTTTCCTCATCCAACCCCCATAAATCCCTGTGTGTCCTCCTGCAGCACTCCCGAAGGACAACAGGCAAGACAAGACAAAAAAGTCTGACGTGTTGAGTAAAAACTGCTATTTTTAGCATATTTTTAGGGCCGACGTGTTGCTACCAGACGTACAGTGTGAGCAGTCAGGTTGCATGCGAGAACTGGGTCGTGCAGTGTGAGCACATGACTCGTGAGATCTGCTCTGCGAGGAAGTCGTACAGTTTGAGCTGAAGCTGAACGCTGCGAGTGAAAAAGTCACACAGTGTACGCCCGGCTGTTTCTGTTCTAGAACTTTAATGTGAGGATGTTTTTGGTCATTTATCAGGGTTTCTGGGCCATTTTGAGCCCCAACAAACTTTCACAAGGCATATAGAGGCTCAAAGAACAGTTTCCAAATGTCAAAAATGTTCTAGATTAGAACCCTTTAGTAGAGGCTCGATAGATCCAGCTAGCATTTCCAAAGTAGTACAAAAGTTTTGGAGCTATTGTTGTAAGAAATTCATTCCTGCACGTGTGTGTGTGTGTGTGTGTGTGTGTGTGTGTGTGTGTGTGTGTGTGTTTTAGCAGTATAGATTTAACTTACATAGATATGGCCCACATCCTCAGTTCCATTTAAACAAATGAGAATAGAAACAAGGCAAAGTGTGAGTATACAGTTCTCATGAAGACAAGAAAATGTTATCATTCTAGCAAATGGGTTGCTCTTGAAATGAGCAACTTAACCTGTTTTGATCTCACAATGCAAGACTGTGACGTGCCTGAGGGGAAGAAAGCAAGGCATTGCTCCGTAAAATGCTGCTGCTAACATCCATTGAGAAACGAAAAATCATTCAAAGTAAAATGTGATGGAAAACAGAGCAAAAAGGGAAAAAAAAGAAGGTCTGGATGAAAGACAAATTAACACACATCCGGTTGTGCTGGAAAAATTAATCTAACTAAACCTGGAGCCACAAGGGGCTTCTTCCTCTTACCAGAGGGAAAAACCAAGAAGATGCTAAGACACATGAAAACAACTTCAGTGGAAAGCAAAAAGCTGCAATCAAAGTGGGTTAATTTTCCAGCCACTGGGAGAGGCGAACAGACAAACTGAACAAATGAAAAACTCTGCTTTGGTAAAAGGTTATAGATAAAAAAATGGTGCAACAATAAATGCATTCAACAAAGAGCCAAAGCATTGAAGTATGGCATTATGTAAATTAAGAAAAATAACAATATAGTGGACTGAGTTTTAAACATAACACTTTCCTACAAATGTAAATCTTCGAGAATACTGATTATGTTTTATTATACACAAGCAGCACAAGTAGAACATGAGTGCAGATCGACGCTGGTTTATGCCTGAAGATAAAAAGTGGTCTTGATTGCCACATCGTAAAACTTTAATAGCAAATCTCTACTGAGGCGAAAACACACACAAGCACCACTTGACTTCATCAATTTACCAAAACACACACATGCACACACACACAAGGTTTTATGCAAGAGGATATAAAAATATGTTCTTACAGTTAGGAAAATTAAGAAAGTACAATCTGAACTGAAAAAAGTCACAATAAATTTATGAGAAACCAAATACATATGATAAAAATCTCATGTTCCAATATAAACAAGTTATATCCCAATATTTATATAAACAAACAGGGTAATAATCTCTTAATTTTTATGTGTTTTGATAACAAGATAAAGTTCTGCTATAAACTTTGTGAAAGGTGAACCCGTTAGATGCGTTAGAGAATCAGGATGCTGCCCATCATTCTGGACAAATTGGGTTCTTGCTTAAATTTTTGTTTCTTTGGAGCTGCCTTGGAATGTTTTGAGATGTTACCTTTGTGAAAAAGTATTTCAGGTCTCACCATTACATGGTCAGCTCTGCGCCAGAATCCACATTGTTCATTGGTGACTAATAATAATGTCACCACTGTGACGAAGTCTGTATTTTGCACCACCACCACAAAAAACAACCAAGTTTTAATTTCATCACTTTATATATTTCGTCATCACACACATACACACAAGCTACATCTCAGACTCTATGGGTAATGTTGAGGGTCGTGACAACAGCATGGAAAACAAACACAGCATGTCAACAACATCTCATTCCAACTGTCAAGCCAGGTGATGGAGAATAGGTGATTTGGACTTCTACACCCACAGGATCTCAGCATCGTGCAGCAACTGAGTCAACTATATATTCTCCTGCATACAGACGTAGTCTTGAGGTAAATGTACTGAAAGATGAAGCCTGATAGAAACTGGAGTATGCAATAAGGCAAGGGTGGGGAACTCTGGTCCATCGAGGGCCACTATCCAGCATATTTTAGTTTCAACCCTGCATCAACACACCTGATTTCAATCAGCAGGTGATTAACAGACTTCTGCAGAGCTTGATGAGCTGCAGAACAGGTGAATTAATCACTGATTCAGAAGTGTTGGAGCAAAGACATGCAGTATACCGGCCCTCGAGGACCAAGGATCCCCATGCCTGCAATAGGGCAATGAAATGAGCTAAAAAAGAATGAAGGTGTTTCATCATATAAAACATGACAGGACCTTAATTAAGATGTGATTAAACTGAAGCTTCTTGATCTCAATGGACTGATGATAGACATTTAGAAAAATGAATGCAAGGACTTACATTAGGCCAATATCTGAGATATAAAAATGAGAGCGTGATAATGCCAGGTTTCTGACTGGGACCAGGAAACGGGACCACATCAGTCCGGTTCTGGCCTCGCTGCACTGGCTTCCAGTCTGTTATCGATCACACTTTAAACTCCTCGTCTTTGTTTACAATTTCTTCCAGGGCAGTGCTCCCCCCTATCTAGCCACGCTCCTGAACAGACATTCCCCATCATGGGCTCTGCGCTCCTCTGACCATGGCCTACTCGCTGTCCCTTGTTCTAGGTGTCGTACTCGCGGGAACCGGGCTTTCTCAGTTCTAGCCCCGTCACTCTGGAACCAGCTGCCACCCTCAGTCAGGCTATCCTCATCTCTGCCAGTCTTTACGAGTTGCCTAAAACCCCACCTCCTCCGCTTGGCATTCCCTAAACGTGTTTGAGTTTGGCCCTCTTTTATGTTGATTTTATTTCCC